AGTTACACCTGGTTAAAGTTACACCTGGTAAAAGTTACACCTGGTAAAAATTACACCTGGTAAAAGTTACACCTGGTTAAAGTTACACCTGGAAAAAATTACACCTGCTAAAAGTTACACCTGGTTAAAGTTATACCTGGTTAAAGTTACACCTGGTAAAAGTTACACCTGCTAAAAGTTATACCTGGTTAAAGTTACACCTGGTTAAAGGTATACCTGGTTAAAGTTCGTCGTCTTCGTCGTCTTCCTCCGCTTATCCGGGTCCGGGTCGCGGGGGCAGCATCCCAACTAGGGAGCTCCAGGCCGTCCTCTCCCCGGCCTTGTCCACCAGCTCCTCCGACAGGACCCCAATGCGTTCCCGGACCAGATTGGAGATGTAACCTCTCCACCGTGTCCTGGGTCGACCCGGGGGCCTTCTGCCGGCAGGACATGCCCGAAACACCTCCCCGGGGAGGCGTCCAGGAGGCATCCTGACCAGATGCCCAAACCACCTCAACTGGCTCCTTTCGATCCGGAGGAGCAGCGGTTCTACTCCGAGTCCCTCCCGAATGTCCGAGCTCCTCACCCTATCTCTAAGGCTGAGCCCGGCCACCCTACGGAGGAAACTCATTTCGGCCGCTTGTATCCGCGATCTCGTTCTTTCGGTCATTACCCAAAGCTCATGACCATAGGTGAGGATTGGGACGTAGATCGACCGGTAGATCGAGAGCCTGGCTTTCTGGCTCAGCTCCCTCTTCCCCACGACAGATCGGCTCAGCGTCCGCATCACTGCAGACGCCGAACCAATCCGCCTGTCGATCTCCCGATCCCTCCTACCCTCACTCGTGAACAAGACCCCGAGATACTTAAACTCCTTCACTTGAGGTAGGACCTCTCCCCCGACCCGGAGGTGGCAAGCCACCCTTTTCCGGTCGAGAACCATGGTCTCAGATTTGGAGGTGCTGATCCTCATCCCAGCCGCTTCACATTCGGCCGCGAACCTACCCAGCAAGAGCTGAAGGTCAGAGCTGGATGAAGCTAGGAGGACCACATCATCCGCAAAAAGCAGAGACGAGATTCTCCTGCCACCAAACTCGACACACTCCACACCACGGCTGTGTCTAGAAATTCTGTCCATAAAAGTGATGAACAGAACCGGTGACAAAGGGCAGCCCTGGCGGAGTCCAACCCTCACTGGGAACAGGTCCGACTTACTACCGGCTATGCGGACCAAACTCACGCTCCTCTGGTAAAGGGACTGAATGGCCCTTAACAGAAAGCCACCCACCCCATACTCCTGGAGCGTCCCCCACAGGGTGCCCCTGGGGACACGGTCATAAGCCTTATCCAAATCCACAAAGCACATGTGGATTGGTTGGGCAAACTCCCATGCCCCCTCCATCACCCTTGCAAGGGTATAGAGCTGGTCCACAGTTCCACGGCCAGGACGAAAACCACATTGCTCCTCCTCTATCTGAGATTCAACTATCGATCGGACCCTCCTCTCCAGTACCTTGGAGTAGACCTTTCCAGGGAGGCTGAGGAGTGTGATCCCCCTATAGTTGGAACACACCCTCAGGTCACCCTTCTTAAAGATGGGGACCACCACCCCGGTCTGCCACTCCCTGGTTAAAGTTACACCTGGTAAAAGTTACACCTGCTAAAAGTTACACCTGCTAAAAGTTATACCTGGTTAAAGTTACACCTGGTTAAAGTTACACCTGGTAAAAGTTACACCTGGTAAAAGTTACACCTGGTTAAAGTTACACCTGGTAAAAGTTACACCTGGTTAAAGTTACACCTGGTTAAAGTTATACCTGGTTAAAGTTACACCTGCTAAAAGTTACACCTGGTTAAAGTTATACCTGGTTAAAGTTACACCTGGTAAAAGTTACACCTAGTAATAGTTACACCTGGTAAAAGTTACACCTGGTAAAAATTACACCTGGTAAAAATTACACTTGGTTAAAGTTACACCTGGTAAAAGTTACACCTGCTAAAAGTTACACTTGCTAAAAGTTACACCTGGTAAAAGTTACACCTGGTTAAAGTTACACCTGGTAAAAATTACACCTGGTAAAAGTTACACCTGGTAAAAGTTATACCTGGTTAAAGTTACACCTGGTTAAAGTTACACCTGGTAAAAGTTACACCTGGTTAAAGTTACACCTGGTAAAAGTTACACCTGGTTAAAGTTACACCTGGTTAAAGTTATACCTGGTTAAAGTTACACCTGCTAAAAGTTACACCTGGTTAAAGTTATACCTGGTTAAAGTTACACCTGGTAAAAGTTACACCTAGTAATAGTTACACCTGGTAAAAGTTACACCTGGTAAAAATTACACCTGGTAAAAATTACACTTGGTTAAAGTTACACCTGGTAAAAGTTACACCTGCTAAAAGTTACACTTGCTAAAAGTTACACCTGGTAAAAGTTACACCTGGTTAAAGTTACACCTGGTAAAAATTACACCTGGTAAAAGTTACACCTGGTAAAAGTTATACCTGGTTAAAGTTACACCTGGTTAAAGTTACACCTGGTAAAAGTTACACCTGCTAAAAGTTACACTTGCTAAAAGTTACACCTGGTAAAAGTTACACCTGGTTAAAGTTACACCTGGTAAAAATTACACCTGGTAAAAGTTACACCTGGTAAAAGTTATACCTGGTTAAAGTTACACCTGGTTAAAGTTACACCTGGTAAAAGTTACACCTGCTAAAAGTTACACTTGGTTAAAGTTACACCTGGTAAAGTTACACCTGGATATTTGAAAATCCTTTTCTCTTTACCAGATATAAATGATAAAGTTAAATGGGTTAATTGTGTTGTTTCATTTAGCCGTTTATTAAATCTGCACATTAATATTTGCCTAATAATTATGCACATGCCGTATAGTTACTCCTGGTTAAAGTTACATCTGGATAAGGTTGCACCTATAGTTACATCTGGAATAAGTTACATCTGGATAAGGTTATGCCTATAGTTACATCTGGAATAAGTTACACCTGGATAAAGTTACACCTATAGTTACATCTGGAATAAGTTACACCTATAGTTACATCTGGATAAGGTTACACCTATAGTTACATCTGGAATAAGTTACAAATATAGTTACATCTGGATAAAGTTACACCTATAGTTACATCTGGAATAAGTTAAATCTGGATAAGGTTGCACCTACAGTTACATCTGGAATAAGTTACATCTAGATAAAGTTACACCTATAGTTACATCTGGAATAAGTTACATCTGGATAAAGTTACACCTATAGTTACATCTGGAATAAGTTACATCGGGATAAAGTTACACCTATAGTTACATCTGGAATAAGTTACATCTGGATAAAGTTACACCTATAGTTACATCTGGAATAAGTTACATCTGGATAAAGTTACACCTATAGTTACATCTGGAATAAGTTACATCTGGATAAAGTTACACCTATAGTTACATCTGGATTAAGTTACATCTGGATAAAGTTACACCTATAGTTACATCTGGAATAAGTTACATCTGGATAAAGTTACACCTATAGTTACATCTGGAATAAGTTACATCTGGATAAAGTTACACCTATAGTTACATCTGGAATAAGTTACATCTGGATGAAGTTACATTATCACAGCGCTTCAGTTTTAAAATTGTTTTGATGAAACTGTTGATGCCAGAATAACTAAATAATAACAAACTAATGTCTGCTTTATTACCTCTACTGCCAGTTTGATTCTGAAGGTTTTTTAAGCTCTGACGTCACCAGATCATGAAGAGATTTAATTCTCAGCAAAACCACCACCAGGGGGCAGCAGAACTAAATGTGTGTCTAAATGTGTGTGAGAAACAAAGAGAGCCAAAAACTGCAAAAGAAAGTATGCTTGTGTGGTTTAGCAGGCAAATGTGCGTGCGTGTGCGTGTGCATGTGTGTGTGTGTGTGTGTGTGTGTGTGTGTGTGTGTGTGTGTGTGTGTGTGTGTGTGTGTGTGTGTGTGTGTGTGTCAGCCTTGTTTGTATTCCTGTGTGTCTACGGACAAAAGCTCCATCGAGCCGTGCAGCAGAGGGCTGCTTGTTCCCAGAGACCCTCAGAGCATCCAGACCCTCTGCTGTCCGAATCCCAGACTCGGATCCGCTCCCAAGCTCGTTTTCCTCCTGCTGCGGGAGCTCCATCCGGATAACTGATGGATGGGAAGAAGGGAAGCGGGTGATCAAAGAGAGAAAGCTGGAGAGGAGAGAGAAGGAAACGTTTGTCTTGTCAGGATTACAATGATAAAAACTCCACTTGAAGTTCTGGGTACTTTGGAAAATTTTACTTTGACACATTTTTTTGTAAAGTCTGAAAACAGAGGTAACTGTAAACGTTCTCCTGAGTTTTCCTGAAGACGCTTTTGTATTTTGTGACTTTCTGGACCCGTGTCTTTAACTTAGATGTGCTAAAGCCAGCTGGATCACTTTATTACTGACAACATTCGTGGAATATTACTGGAATCTTTGTTTTCCCAAATCCCTACCCCACCTCCTTGTAAGCAGATCATCTTCTAGTAGACTAAGCATCATGGCTCCATCGGTAGGGTTCTCGATGTTCCTCTACCTTCTGCTGCTAGTTGTTGATGCGAAGAGTGCTGAAGACCATGAGAAGCAGAAGACCGACATGGACAAACCGTCTTCCCGCATCAAATTAGAGTCTCTTTGGACCAGCCAGCAGCTCAAAACTCCAGAGGACCACAGCCCCCCTGAGAAGAACCCCCCTTTCCCTGATATGATGGACCTGGACCTGGACCACCACCCCCGTCTGGCCCGTGGTGCTGATGAGGATGAGCAGCAATCCACCTTCAGCCATTCCTTTGAGAACGAGTGGGTGACAACGCCTCAAGTAACCAACTTCAGCAACACGACGACAGTAGGAGCTGATGTTGGTGAGACGAATGACGTCCACCTTCATCCAAACACCTCCAGCCCAGACGATGGTGGTCCAGGACTCTTTAACCCGTTCTACCCGCTGGTGGAGAGCTCATACGCGGCCTACGCAGTTCTGGTCCTGGCCGGTCTGGTTCTAGCCATAGGTGTGGTGGGGAACTTGGCTGTCATGTGCATCGTTTGGAACAACTACTACATGAGATCTGCCTGGAACTACCTGCTGGCCAGCATTGCATTCTGGGACTTCCTCGTCCTGGTGCTCTGCCTCCCAGTGGTGGTCCTGAATCACCTCTCCCATAGGAGGATCCTTGGTGACATCACCTGTCAAATGGTGCCATATATGGAGGTAGGTGGTAGGAGGAAGTCTTTTGATTTATCTAAAAAACTTTGGTTGTGATGAGATTCGGTGGTTCCATGAAAACCTGACAAATGAATGACAATGGATCAGTCTGGATACAAATCAGTTTAATGGAAACTAAAACCAATTCTGTGAGAACTTAAGAGTCCGTTTAGTCCAGCTAAGTGAAAAACATGTGGTCAGTATGTCTCCCAGCAGTCTAAGCCTCTGGCAGCATAACTAAAGGGATGAGCTGGGATAACCCAAGCTAAAAGAGTTTCTACCTCATGGATAGAAAATGGAAGCTGGTTCCACCAGAGAGAAGCTTTTTCATGTGAACTTGACAGTAAGTTGATTAATGAAGATGCCGTCAGACCCAGAATCGTCGTTAAACACGAGGGTAACAACATTCTCCTAAACACCTCAGATCAACTACAGTTTTAGACTGGCGCTCAGCTGTTTGACGGGGAACAGAAAAACACTTTTGAACCGTTTGCTGTGAAAGTTTTCCTTTAAAGTGTCGAACTTCCATGCTGCTTGTTTGGGAGTCGGTTGCTACGGTAACGGGACGTCCTGCTGCTGCTTCCACTGGTTGACGAGAGCTCATTTAGGCTAAAAAGCTTTGTGTGATTTGTTCTTTATCTCTGGTGAGATCCTTGTGAACCAAACATGACCTCATCGGTCCAGACTGCAGGGTATCTGCAGGTTCAAGGGAGCCAAATTTAAGACTTTTTAAGACCTTTTTTAAGGCCACTTTGACCAAATTTAAGCTTGTCGTCGTCGTCTTCCTCTGCTTATCCGGGTCCGGGTTGCGGGGGCAGCATCCCAACTAGGGAGCACCAGACCGTCCTCTCCCCGGCCACCTCCACCAGCTCCTCCGGCAGGACCCCAAGGCGTTCCCGGACCAGATTGGAGATGTAACCTCTCCAACGTGTCCTGGGTCGACCCGGGGGCCTCCTGCCGGCAGGACATGCCCAAAACACCTCCCCAGGGAGGCGTCCAGGAGGCATCCTGACCAGATGCCCAAACCACCTCAACTGACTCCTTTCGATCCAGATCCAAATCTAAGCTATTTTTTAAATTAATTTTAAGCTATAATTTACAGCTATTGCCTGGAACTGGTGCTAACCACGTCGCGAACATGGGATTAGCCATCCAGTTACCATTAAACTTGCACTTCTCCATGGCGCAAGCTCCCACTAGCTTAACCAGCTAACGTGCTCATCTAAAAATAGTCCCCTTTCACAACCAACTGAATGTGTACAGTTCCGCTTACGCCAACATCGTACACAAAAAATGCTGAAATTCACGAAAATGTCATAGAAATAAAATAATCTAGTTTATTGGGTCTTTGGTAATTTAAGACCTTTGGAAACTGTATTTAAGGATTATTTGTCATTTTTAAGGATTTTCAAGGCCTTAAATTTGGAAAAGTAAATTTAAGACTTTTTAAGACTTTTTAAGGACCCGCAGATACCCTGAGACTGACACGCTGCTTCTCGCTTTAGTCCAAACACGTCCTGAAATCAGTGGGTCAACTAGAATAACTAGCTAAAAATAATGTTGTCATAGTAACATGGTAAACATTTGAAGAATATAAATCAACTACAAAATTCCTGAAGCCAGCTGACACATACGTTTATCCGGAGGCAAGCAGCAGAGTCTTATCCCACCTTGTGGGCAGCAGCACCTGGGCTGCCTCCCTTTTAGAGGAAGTTGGCAGGTTTACAGGATCACCATCATGCCCAGCTAGAGAGGGGAATGTCTGAAAGGTGTGACCTTCCACTTCATCAGCAAGACAACATCCCCAATAAAACACGGTGAGAAAAACTTCAGATGTACCACATGTTCATGCACGACAGAAAATCAAACAAATGTGGAGGAATATGAAATATGCATTTTTTTGTTGTTGCAACAGCACCTCCTAGTTCACTAAATAAATACATTCTCCATGTTAGGGGTCCCAAATATGCAAATGCTGTGTGATTTATTCAATTGAAAGGCAAAATGGAAGCCCATAAGCCATGCCCATTGTTAAATTATCTTTAAGATAAGGCTTCAGGGCGTGTTTCTGAATATCTGCACCGAGTAAATCTGAACAAGAGTCAGTACGGATGCCCATGACCTCATTCCTTATGAGGATCTAATGTCTTATCATTTAGGCTTGAAATATGGCGGAGACACAAGTCATGCGCTAGCTAGTGTTAAAACTTTATTATTGTGTCGCACCATCTTGCCACAGGAGTCCCCCAGGGCTCTGTACTAGGCACTCTTCTCTTTGCCATATACACCACCTCACTGGGTGAGATCATTCGATCACATGGCTTCTCCTACCACTGCTATGCAGACGACACCCAGCTCTATCTGTCATTTCCACCGGACGACCACACTGTCTCTGTACAAATATCAAACTGTCTCTCTGACATATCAAAATGGATGAAACCCCACCATGTCCAACTCAACCTCTCTAAAACTGAACTACTTGTCATCCCAGCAAAACCATCCATACAGCACAATATCTCAGTCCAGAATGACTTCCTATCTCTGGCTCCTTCAAAGGCAGTTCGAAATCTGGGTGTTGTGATTGATGAACACCTGGCCTTCAAAGATCATGTTGCCTCTGTTGCTCGTTCATGCCGCTTTGTGCTGTATAACATACGAAAGATCAGACCATACCTAACACAACATGCCACCCAGCTCCTGGTGCAATCTACTGTCATCTCCCGCCTCGATTACTGCAACGCCCTTCTAACTGGTCTTCCAGGCTGTACTGTGAGACCTCTTCAAATGGTCCAGAACGCAGCGGCGCGTCTGGTCTTCAATCAGCCAAAAAGAGCACACGTCACCCCTCTGTTCATTGAGCTCCACTGGCTACCGCTAGCAGCACGCATCTAATTCAAATTGCTAACACTAGCATAGGGCAACATGCCGATTATCACTTGTAAGTCGCTTTGGACAAAAGCGTCTGCTAAATACATAAACATGTCAGCCCATGATCTAATGATGTAACTGTTGATTGACACCTAACTTAAAAAGAAAGGAGTTGTTGCTCAAGGAAAAACAACAACAGCTCTAAAAGACTCTTTGGTAGACCAGTATCTTACCAAAAGTTAAGCTTTATCATAAAAGACAAGTGAACTGAGCCTGTTTCTATATTTTCTTTGAAGATAATCATTTAGCTAGATCTACCTGAAAAATACAGCCATTGCTCAAGTTAAACCTCCTCATTAGCAGGTTTAAAATTTGACCTAGATCACAGTTTAAATTGAGGTTTAATGTTCTGGTGCAACAGGCTTAGATCTAAACTTGGTTTAGTGTAACAATTAAACTGGGCTTAAAAGAGAGGCTTAAATTAAATCTGTCTTCATTTTAAACTAGGTTTAAAGTTTGGTGGAACAGAATTTAAACTTAAACCACGATTTAATCCAAGTTTAAAGTTAAACCTTGTTGGCGCAATCCACCTTAGGCTCGACACACGGGAGGCGACATCGCCTCTCTGCCATTCATTTTCAGTGAGATGTAATCGCGGGTCTGCCTCCTACTAAGCGAAACACGAAAAACGTGAGTGTGAAATTTTGCGCTCGTGCACGTGTCGTGCACAGACGACCCAGAGACGCGATCCCAGAAAGTTGAAATATTTTCAGCTTTTCATCGCTGTTGCTCGGACGAGGACCAATCAACAGAGGTTTCATTCACTGACCAATGAGCGGACAGGATGCTCCGTACACCTCAGAGCAAACATGGAGGAAAAGTTGATACTTGCTGTGACGGATTTCCCAGAACTGTTTAATATTTCTACCAAAGAATATAGAGAAATTCACAAAAAGGCCGCGGCATGGGAAGTTATTGGTGCATTATCGTTAAATTATGTTATTCTCCGTTTCTTTCTCTGGTTTGTAATATGGGGTGAACCCATTCTCGTTTTTTTTATATAGTAAAATCAGAAGTAAGAGCTCACATAAATGGGGTGACGGTGGCACAGGAGTTAAGTGCTCGCCCCACAATCGGAAGGTTGCAGGTTCGAGCCCCGCTCAGTCTGTCGCTGCCGTTGTGTCCTTGGGCAAGACACTTAACCCACGTTGCCTGCTGGTGGTGGTCGGAGGGACCGGTGGCGCCAGTGCTCGGCAGCCTCGCCTCTGTCAGTGCGCCCCAGGGCAGCTGTGGCTACATTGTAGCTCATCCCCACCAGTGTGTGAATGTGTGTGTGAATGGGTGAATGACTGATTGTGTTGTAAAGCGCCTTGGGGGGTTCCAGGACTCTAGAAGGCGCTATATCAAATACAGGCCATTTACCATTTACCATAATTCTAGCAGCACCTTGTGAAACATCATATCTACCGCTTTTTTTAAACTCTGAATCGCTTAAAGAGCAAGTCACTCCAAATCAACATTTTCTTGCTGATAAACTAAATAAACGAGCGTCTGATCGTGCTGTAGACACGTGTAGTCAATAATTCGGCACTTTAGAGCATCTAAGTTAAAATTTAAATATTCTGCCTGAAACCGTCGTCAGGTAAAAACTCTGCACTGCATTTGAATTTAAATCTGCCATCGCTATTGGCTAAGAGGTACACTATGATGTTAGATGGTACATTATGATGTCACAATGTTTTGATTGTGTGCATTTGTTAGCAGCTCCACCCTCTCGGTCTGCTAGGCAACAGCATTTGTTGCACTTTTCAAACTGGAAGTGGGAGTGGAGTTATACTCTGGTAAGGGGTGACTTGCTCTTTAAATGACCTTAATTCCCTCCAACCAATCAAAACAACGGAAGATTCGATTTCGAACTGAATGATTCGACGACTTTGCCGCTGGCCGCCTCCCGTGTGTCGAGCCCATTTGTCTCAAAATGAACATTTTCTCATCACGTTTCAGTTCCCAAAAGCTGCTGCAATTATTGTTCATAACTTTTGAAGTTTGATGCAGAAAACAAATGATTTAAATGTGATTCGTCTAAAATTCCTTACCAACCTGTTTTTATGAAAGTGATCCAGATGGTTCCGATTCTCCGGTTCCTCCAGGAAACGCGTGAAATGTAATCTAAGGAATTCAGTAAAAGTAGAAAATTATAATCATCTTTATCCTGAACGTGTTTTCTGCTCTAATCCTGGTCTGAATTTGATCAATTCCGATTTTATTCAAAGGGAAATAAAAAGTTGAACCCTTTTCACCATCATGATGACTTTTATCATCCCATTTTAAATTATAACTACAGCTGGTGTCCTCCATCTGGTCTCTGCAGGTGGTGTCTCTCGGGATCACCTCCTTCACTCTGTGCGCTCTGGGTATCGGTCGTTTCCACGCCGCCACCTCCTCGTCCCAGCCCAAGGCTCGGCAGGTGGAGCGCTGCCGCTCGGTGCTGATGAAGATGCTGATGGTGTGGCTGTCTGCTTTGCTGCTGTCCAGCCCTGAAATCTTTCTGTGGCAGTTCAGTCAGACCACGTCCTCGTCCACCGGTAGGACGGTGGACTCTTGCACCATCACACTGTCCTCTCCACTGTCCCTCTACCTGCCTGACTCCCTCCACTCCCTGCTGCTCAGGTACCACCAGGTGAGATACGACACCATGATTCAGTCCTCTCTTCACACTGTGCGGAAGATTTCAGTCGTTTGCCGTCAACAGGTCACAGCTCAGGTGTTCTTAACAGAACTTCTTTAGGAAGCTTTCTCGGCCCAAGACGAAAAAGTGTTGAGTACTGAGCTTTTAACCTGCAGTGAGAACTTTGTTAAAATCCAGCTAGTTCGCACATCACTCCTCCTCTCGAGGTTCCTCTGAAGGGTCGTTGCTTTCGTGTCTCAGGAGGGACTAAAGCATCTCCCATGTGGGCCAGGGAGGGAACTATTAGCGAACTAGCTAGCATTAGTGAAGCTCTTGTTACAGTTTTAAAGCAAGGTACTCTTGACTTAGTCCAATAATCTACAAGTGCTACCATCCACTGGGTGACTGCAGGGGCGCCTCCAGAAAATTTTGATAAGGGTGGCCAGATGGGGCCCAAAAGTTTTTTTGGGCCCCATGTTTGGGCCCCACACCAAATTGAACCTTGTGGTAACTCTGGGAGAGTTTAGCCTGTGGCGATGTGCTGCATTGTTCCTTTATCCATTTTTATTAAAAAGCAGTACGTATCCAAAACATTTAACTTAAATTTTACAAACACAAACATTTCAGTTTTTTTTTATGTTATTCAAATTTTCGTTTACAAGTTTATTTTTTAGGTTAATTCACCTGTTGCTGTGTTCACAAAAAGACTATGGAGATAAAAACTTTTTTTAAATGGTGGGCAGCAGAAAACAAATTTATTTATTTATTCTGATTATTTCTTTACTTAAAGGGACATTATGGAAGTTTGACAGCCAAACCATAAAATAATAAACTTCTACTTCATACAGTACATTCTCCTGCAATGCCCTGGTCCTGTAGAATGAGCCCTGGCATTTTTGCCTGTTTTTCTGTAAAATCACAGAAAAAGAGAGATGCTCGGGTCGAGCAGGCTGCTTCATGCGCGTTCACGCTCAGGCATCGCCCGTAGCATTTGCTATCCGTAGCTTTAGCAGCAGAGAGAGAGGCAGTGCCACTTTGTCGCTGTTCCTAACGCCTAGTGACAAAGCTAGCTACATTTCTGAGGACCCTTAGCTACTTTCTGTAGAACTTTCTTCTAGATATTTCCTGCAAATTAGCAACAAAATAGCCATTTTCACTCCCAACCGTTCTTTGAATGTTGTTTCAGCTGTCATCAAGGATATAAATGTTATAGATACAAAAGATGTCTCTGGTGCTTTAGCTCACCTAGTAAGACGTCGGACTCTCATGCAGAAGACCTGGTTTCGATTCTGGGTGTGAACATAGTTTATTTAGAGTTTCTTTTTTACATTAATGGTACATTTTTTTACAGTAAGATGCCCAAATTTTTATTTGAGACTCGCCGAACGGCATTGAATTCACAGATAAAAAAGATGTGGGTTCAACTTTCATTTTGGAACAATTTTTCAAGCAAGGGAAGGGAATGATCTGAGCATGCAGGAGGACTGACCCATCATAAACCTTTGTCGGCTGTGCTGAAGAGAAAGGTACAGAACCAAATTATTTAATTAATTAGCTGCGCGTTCTCCTGTCCTCTGTCCCCCCCCCCCCCCCCACATACACACACACACACACACACACACACACACACACAGGACTGTCTCAGCTGTTCTTTTCGTTAAGGAGTGTGCACGTACAGCATGCGCGCCTCGTGCACGAGCCTTCTATTGAAGCTGCCGTTATGTTTTTTACCTGAGGGGGCAATCGCGAGCATAAAAATTCAAAAGTCTGTAAAGTCCCTTTAATAATTGTATTATTTTTATTCTGTTTTACAATTATGTCTTGATTAAACAAGAGCAGTATATGTTTTGACTGAACATTAATTTGATTTATTAAAACTGACTTTTCCTGTTTGGGGTGGGTGGTGGGGGGCAGTACTTTTCTAGGGGTGGCCATGACCACCCCTGGCCATCCCTTGGGGGCACCCTTGGGTGACTGTAGACAAACAGTAGGTGGCGCTAATTCTTCCTCCAAATTTCTTCTTCAGGGTCGTATGTGGTGGTGTTTCGGCTGCTACTTCTGCCTCCCCATTCTCTTCACCATCCTCTGTCAAATGGCCACACGCAACGTAAACAGCGACTCAAGCGCTGCCCAGAAGCAGCGTAACCATGACGACCTCTCCACCAGCCAGAAGCGCCAGCAGCATCAGGCGTTGGAGCAGCAGCTCAACTGCACCCTGTTAGCATTAGCGGTGGTGTACGGCATCTGTGTTCTTCCTGAGCATGTGTGCAACATCACGCTGGCCTACGCACACATCAGCATCTCTGAAAACATCGCCGCCATGATGGCGCTCTTACATCACTTCCTGCTGTTTGTTAAGTGCTCAGTGACACCGGTGCTGCTGCTCTTCCTGTGTAAGGTAGGTCAGGTCAACGGGACGGGAGGCAACATCAGTGGACGAATCGCTAAATTTGGTTTGTGTTTCAGGCTCTCGGCCAGGCCTTCATGGACTGCTGCTGCTGCTGCTGTCAGGAGTGTCAACCAACCACGGCTCAGGGCTCACCAGGCTCCGCCCATGTCAAACTGAAGGGAGCCAATGAGACATCTATCTTCTTTGACAAGGCTAAAGACACATCAGCCATCTTGTCCATCTCCAGCTAGAGCCAAGCCCATGAATCAGCCTTCCTGGTTTCCCAGTCATTTCTTAGAGTAACTCCGACGTTTTCTTTCCCTCTTCACTGTTAACAGAACGTTTATTCTCATTTCCTCCTTTTCTTGCTTCCCTCCAGAACTTGTGATGTTTTTCGTGTTCACACCTTGTCAGACCGTCTCCTGCTTATTTGATGCTCCTTTATGGACATGCAGCTTCCTGTGTGTGAAGAAATTAATGTTTGATTACTTAGAGAAGTTCCTGTTGTTGCACAGTTGTCCGTTCTGACAGCAGGAGCCGGTTTTCCGGACTCCGAACGGACCCCTAAGGAAAAACCAGGTAGAGCTCTTAGACTGAAGTTGGGAGGTCTTATTTGTTTTTACACAAAGTAAATAGAGCTAAATTAGACGAGGGAGAGGGAAAGGCTGGAGGTTTACTGCAGTGATAAGAGACGCTGCCTGAATAAGAACAAAGGTTTGATGTGATGTTGGTTGTGGTCAGAATGATTAACCCCCCCAGGACATAATCCATCATCCCGTTATCATCCACTTATCCAGAGCCGGGTCATAGGACAACAGCTAAAGTCAAGAGGCCCAGACTTCTCTCTCTACAGCCACTTGGGCCAGCTCCTCCGAGGTAATCCGTAGGCGTTCCCTGGCCAGCCGGGAGACATAGTCCCTCCAGCCTGCCCTGGGTCTTCCTTTGCGTCCCACCAGGGAGGCTTCCAGGAGGCATCCTATACCCAAGCAACCTCAACTGACTCCTCTTAGTGTGGAGGAGCAGCGGGTCTACTCCGAGCCCCTCCCGGATGACCGAGATTCTCACCCTAGCTCTGAGGGAGAGCCCAGGCACCCTGCAGAGAAAACTCATTTCGGCCGCTTGTAGGTATATCTGCAGTACAAGTGTGACCAAAACAGTGAGTTTCTACTCTACCCAAAGCTCGTGACCATAGGTGAGGGCTGTAGATCGACCGGTAAATCGAGAGCCTTGCTTTCTAGCTCAGCTCTCTCTTCACCACGACAGACCGGTACAACGTCCTCATCACCAATCCGCCTATCGATCTCACGCTCCAGTTTTCCCTCACTCGTGAACAAGACTCCGAGTCGAGATACTTAAACTCCTCCACTTGGGACAGGACCTCATCCCTGACCCGGAGAAGGCATTCTACCCTTTTCCGAATCAAGACCATGGTCTCAGATTTAGAGGAGCTGATTCTCATCCCAGAAATCCTGTCCATAAAAGTTATGAACAGAATTGGTGACAAAGGGCAGCCTTGGCGGAGTCCAACTCTCACTGGGAACGAGCCCGACTTACTGCCGGCAATGCGGACCAAGCTCTTGACACCGGTCATACAGGGACCTAACAGCCCGTATCAGAGGGCCTGGTACCCCATACTCTCAAAGTACCCCCCCACCCCACCCTCCCAAGGATGCAGTCAAACACCTTCTCCAAATCTACAAAACACATGTAGACGGGTTGGGCAAATTCCCACGCACCCTCCAGGACCCCCTAAGGGTACAGAGCTGGTCCAGGGTTCCACGGCCAGGACGAAAACCACATTGCTCCTCCTGAATCTGAGGTTCAACTACTCGATGGACCCTCCTCTCCAGAACCCCTGAATAGACCTTACCAGCTAGGCTCAGGAGTGTGATCCCCCTGTAGTTGGAACACACCCTGCGGTCCACCACCCCGGTCTGCCAGTCCAGTGGAACTGCCCCCGATGTTCGTGCGATATTGCAGAGCCATCCAGAGCCTTAAGGAAGTCCGGGTGGATCTCATCCATCCCCAGGGCCTTGCCACAGAGGAGCGTTCTCACCACCTCAGTGGTCCTTTTCCAAATATAGTTCAAATAAATCACCATCTGAAAAAAGACACAAACTAAACACTTTCAACATTAGTTTATTTAAAATGGTCCTTTTGCCAGTTTTAATCCATTTAAAATAATCATTTTATTGTGTTTTGGAAACAATGTGATTGTATTATAAAGGTTTACATCCTGTTGGGTTAAACTGTTTAGCCTTCTTGTGTCGTGGTTTAAAAATTCGAATCTCCCAGGAGGAGGACTGTAGGGAGAACGAGGTCAGCTGCACACTCTGACCTCGGGAAAGCGACGGTTGACTCGGCAAACTACGAAAGTCTACAACTAAACAAAGCCATCAAATGAGGAAACTGTCTTATGATAAATATTGTATAAACTACATTTAGGCTCCACAAAGGAGCACATTTAGAAAACTTGAGTGTACTTTGGACTCGTTTAAGCCTTTAAGCTTGAGCACTCCTTGTCAGCATTTATCGGGTGTCTTGTAGAGAAACCGCATCGTTACTAATAAGATGATGGTCTTCAGATTTAAAACTACAATGGCAAATCTGCAAAACGAGCTAGCTTAAAACACTTTTATGCCTAACAATGTTCTAACAGAGTACAGGTATAAATACGGACAACAAAAGATATCTGGGTGTAGAAAATGGCGACTGGTGTTTAGTGCTGTCTCGTTTCCTCTGACAATGCCAGTTAGCGGTTCCGGAGAACTCAGATCAAGTGAACGTACCTGAAGGGAGTAGGGTTGTCACGGTGTGAAAATTTAACCTCACGGTTATTGTGACCAAAATGATCACGGTTTTCGGTATTATCGCGGTATTTTTTTAAATGCGTTACATTTTCAGACAACTAAATAAACCCTGTATAACAGGAAAATATTGTCCTCAGTTTGTGTCTAAATTTTGCCTAAAATGTGTTATTTTCTAATCATGTTGTTTATTTGTTTACATATTTCCCCTTTAGTCTTTAAAATACCATTATCTGCCCATAACTTCTTATTTTTTGTCTTTTTTTACTTGTTTACCCTTACTTGAGTAATAAACCCTATATCAGGAAAATATTGTCCTCGGTTTGTGTCCTTCCAGTGAGCTTTGCAGATGTGGGAAAATGTCATCAGGCAGTAATCGTTGTTAAATTCATAATTATTCTCGGAGAGAGACCAACTCTTATCTGCCCCTGGGAGCCCCGTAATGCATAGCATCAATTCAACATGGGGGTGTCCGCGACACGGTTTATATGCAGGTAGCGGCGCTGCGGCTGCTTTATATAGCAACTCGCTGCGTTCTCCCTCAACCCAAATCCTCGGATCACGCACTTTAGCTAAAACGCTAACGTTAGCTTGCCTTGCGTTGACTGTAGAGTTGTGGGTGATGGTCACGCAGATGTGTCATGAGATTTGAAGCGTTGCTGCCTTTCACAGACACTTTTTCTGCACGTGCTGCAAACAGGATAGCCGTCTTCTATCAGCTGTCCCTCGGCATTCTTCAAATATCCAAAAAATGCCCGTACTTCCCACTTTGTCTTCTTTGAGGGATAATAAATGTCCTGAGTGCTGCCGTCTCCTCCTTTGGCCATTATTTCAGCTTTAGCTTCAAGAAAGTTTTGGTTGTAAACAACAAAGTGCGCATGTGCCACCGGCAACTTCAGCAGATGATACGGTGGCTGGTAAGGGTCACCGCGCCTACACCGCAGCCACGCTAATCCACCGAGATAATATTTATTTTTAAAAACAAGACGGTTATTATTATTGTCAACTTTTTTACCGGGGTTTACCGCTACACCGGTTACCGTGACAACCCTAGAGGGGAGGGGTGAGTGTTTGCAGATTCGCTATAGTAGCTTTAAGAGTTGACGTTGGACCTGCTTCTGTAACACGTTCACAAGAAGATTTTATTTCCTCTGAACTCTGTAAATGACACGAGCAACTGTTCCACTCAGCCCTGCTGTTCAGCTAGTGATGTCATGTGCCCGCCTGTGCTTCTTGTCTGTAAATGATGTCTAATGACGATACTAATCATCTCAAGATGATGAGAAGTTGGTGAAGTTAAAGAATGCTCTGGAAAGACAAACCTGTGGGGATCTTAGAACCAAGATGGTTCCTATAAACAGGAAGTGTTTAGGTTTAATAAAGTGTTTTAACTTGATGACTGTTAAACTACTAGAGCAGATGAAGAAACCAGAGCTGTAGCGTAGCCCGTTAGCCTAGCCTAATGATCTGTAAAGAAGGACGGTGTTTGGACATGGAGGATTGTGCCTTTGTAAGTGTTGCCATTACAAACTGGATCAGAACTGATTGTGTTTTATTGTGTCTGTAACCAAAACCATCCAACTTCCAGCAGATTAACTAAAAAACTCAAGTTAGACGAAATCTCATTAATTAAGTAAACTTCACTCAATAGTTTTTAATAGAGTTCACATTTTCATACAGCTAAGACTTTTTAACTGAGTTTACAGTAAAACTGCTGCTAAGGGAGCTTCAAACGAAACAATACTAAATAATCTCTAATGCATTATGGGATATCTCTTTCAAGTCAGTGATGACTGCAAAAAACCTTTCCGTCTAGTTTTTGATATCGTCTAAACTATAAACAGATTTATACCCAGTTTCTTAGATTTCAGGGGTTTAAACTGTGTTTACACATCCTGTGCGTTCTCCTGGAGGAGTCAGATGGTGAGAAGGGTTTTCATTCTGCCGAGCTGCTCCTCAGCATATCAATGGCCTTACTACTGTCCAGTCGCCATGGGATACCAGCCCAAATTCACCCACACAGAGACACAGTTGTGTTAATTTAGAAACTCCCAACTAGTTTCTAATCAGTGCAAGTCTCTCGTTACCATGGTGACCGATGAGGAGGGCTTTACAGATTTAAAAGGTAAAGGAAGGAAAATGTGTTTTTGTCCTCCGGAGGGTCAGACACAGAAGGGAGGGTAAAGGGAAGCAAGAACGCTACAAAACATTTAAAAGTTGCCCCATTCAGTGGCTTGATCGGAGCAGGTTTAAAGCCCAGAGTCTGGGCCCTGGGGTTCACACTTACTTATTTCCATCTGCTGCAGAGGAGTCGTTTATTTGTAACGGGTAAAAAAACGTAATTACCCAAAGCATAAAATCAATTCTAGTCGGATGTGAGAGTAAATATTGTACCATCAGTCCACAATAATGTCAAGATCCAGATGTTTCAGGTTCATCTTTAACTATGTGGTGTTCTGACTAGGGGTTGTAGCCGACTAGTCGACTTCACTGTTCTGTAGGGACTTTCTATGCCTTTCATAGACAAGTCGCTGTCACGTGATAATGACCGACAAGATGCAGTCATCGGAAGAGACAGCAGGTGACGAGCACCAGTGCGTTGAGAGGCGACGCGCTGTGCCAGAGCGTCGGTATCTGTGGTAAAACGGACATTTGACCAAATTGTGACCTTTACCCTCTTGCAGTGTAACCTTCCCCTCATCCCCATCCTAACCTTAACCAGCTTGCGCATGCAAAGCTCTGATTGTTGACGCGCTCCAGACATCTGCGTCCTGAGCACGGCCACAGTAACGTTATCAAATCAGGTGTCGCCACCTCAAAAACTAATTTAACACGCGATCATTCATGTCGCCACATTTCCTTTTATGTTTTCTGTCTTTTATTTGTGCCTGATGCGTTTCGCTGCTGTGGATCGGGGCGCATCACCTGTTTAGTCCTCGGTGACGCACCTAACTGATGTGGCCGGCGAGCACTCCGCTGTTTTTGCTGTCGGTAGATCTTTTAGAACTGCAGTTCAAAGGTAACTCATAAGGTGAATATATATGAACCCAGGTAGCAGTTTTTCTTTAGGATTGAGAGGAGATGCAGGAAGATAATAAACAGACAGGACAGAAAAATAGTCAAATAAAAACAAGTTAGTTTTTGTACCTGGTGGTTGCAACAAACAGACACTATTGAAGGTAATCAGAAGTGAGGAAGAGAAAGTGAAATAATTATTTTAATGTTTAGAGCAGCAGGAACTCTGAGAGGCTGCAGGAGCATCAGTGAGTTTGCGGCCTCTGCGCGGGGGGGGTTAGGGTTAAGAGAGATGCTTAACTTTGAAAATACGGGCGCAATTTTAATTGACGAAAACTCCAGCGAACCAACTCGCTTCAGGTGTATTGGGCTCGACACACGGGAGGCGACAAACGACCGCGATCAGCGAAATTTGTTGCTGTCGCTTTTATTACCTGACACACGGGAGGCGACCCGCGGCAGCGGCAAAGCCGTCTACGAGTTCTGTTCCATGGCGAAATCGAAACTTCCGTTGTTTTGATTGGCTGTGTCAGGTTGGAGGGAATTAAGGTTATCTAAGCGGTTCAGAGTTAATAAAGCGGTAGATATGATGTTTCACAAGGTGCTGCTAGAGTTATGTGAAATATTACTTCTGATTTTACTATAAAACATAATAATAATCAACTTCTCCTCCATGTTTACTCGGAGGTGTACGGAGCATCCTGTCTGCTCATTGGTCAGTGAATGAAACCTCCGTTGATTGGTCCTCGTCCGAGCGACAGCGATGAAAAGTTGAAAATATTTCAACTTTCTGGGATCGCGTCGCTGGGTCGCCTGTGCACGACACGTGCACGAGCGCTAAATTTCACACTCACGTTTTTCGCGTTTCGCTTAGTCGGAGGGAGACCCGCGATTATCGCTTTGTCGCGCATGTCTCAGTGAAAATGAATGGAGGAGAGGCGTGTCGAGCCCATATGACATCATCAACGACTAGTCAAAGTCGGCCAGATTTTCATTACTTGCAGCCCCGAGTGCTGACCCACTTTAACTTCGTGGTTTTCTGACCTGCTTTAACTAAATCACACAAACATGGGAGCCAAAAACCTGATGATGTGCTTCTGTCTCATCTTACTTGTTGTAACTTCATCAAAGTAAAAGTGGAACTAAATTACAGATTTAAAAAATAATGAACACATCTTCACTGGTTTTCTAACTGAGCCCGCCTCCAACTCCTGATGAAAATGGTTCTACGCCCAACTCCACCTGCTCTCACTGCTGCAGGTAAGGTACCGACTCGTCAGAGCTGCTCCACAGAAATCGTTTCAATATGAAAAAAAAGGAAACGTAATTAGTGTTTGATGAACTAGATAAATCTGAGTTCAGCTGCACAGCTGACGGACGGAGGAGGAGTGACTGATGCGGAGTTGGAGGAACAGAGTGTTTCAGGCCGTCGGTGATGTTGTTCTCATTAGCAGTGATGAGAGCTCGCCCGCTGATACAAACCCCCGAACAGACCGCCTCTGTTCGCTAATGAACGCACACACCGAGGCGACGAGACCTCCGCTGGCCAAGCCACGGTGTCTCTGGGACAAACTGGATGGGAACCAGCTTTACTCTGTAGTTGTGTAACAGAAAGGTCACAGGTTCAAGTCCCTCATCCATCCTGAAGGAGAAGATAGTTTCACAGATGCTTCATCTCTACAGGGTTTCAGATATAACTTATTATTTCAGATCTTTCTGAAGATGAAGAAATTTTTCAGACTCGACAAGCTTTTGAACCTCGAATCATATAAAGGCGCTACACATCTGTGTCAGTCTCTTTATCCTGACGGCGGACAAAAATGACCAGAAAACAAGTTAAAAATATAAACAAAAGCAAAAAAAACCCACAAATTAAAAGTTGTTTTTTGTCATTTTGTCGAGCTTTAAGGTCCTGCTCACGGGTTTGCGGTTCGGGGGCGACGCTGCTCGTATGCTGGAGATTTTAGACGTGAAACTTATTTGATCTCCTTTCCTCAGATTTGAAACAAAACACGTTCTCATGTTTCAGGACCACGACTGGAAATCCACAAATAAAACCCCAAAAGACTTCCAGAAGATCTGCAGAACTCCTGATCCAAAAACCACGTCAAAAGAAAACCGGGATGTCTGGGAGCCGGAAAGGGAACAGAAAGGACGAGGGCCGGATCAAGAGTTCTGGGAGCGTTTGGGTTTTATTTCAGTTAAACAGCAGCAGCTGATTCTCACACACACCGTGTGAAACCCTCTGATATGAAGCAGCACTTGTTTGAGTGTGTGTGTGTGTGTGTGTGTGTGTGTGTGTGTGTGTGTGTCACCTTATCAGCAGGATGAATGAATGTGCTGCAACAAGTGAGTGTGTATATGTGCCAGAGCTTAGTACACAACTAACTAATCTCACCCGAATGTGTTACTTGCACGAATGCGCACGCGCTCACACACACACACACACACACACACACACACACACACACACACACACACACACACACACAATGCTAGTTTTGTTCCGTGGGAAAACTGATGAGGAACCAAGTGAAGGGGGGGCAACCCTGTTGTCATGACAACGAGCCTGGGGTCCCAATGAAGAGGGAGGCTGGTTAAAACACGCACACGATGAGGTGGGACCTCGTTCTGCAGACAGGAAACGGGGAGGCCCGAGTCTTTGTTGGTGGGTATAAAACACGCTGAAGGACGTTTTCCTCACAACTCAGCGCACGGACTGACAGACAGGCGGCAGCTTTTACACGTCACAACCAAACGAGTGGTTCTCTCCTCCTTGCAGCTCCTTCTGTCTAGCTTTTTGTCCGTTTGCTGTAGAGGTGATGAGAAAGCTTCACACTCGTCTCTCTCTGCTCTAAACTGTCGTTTATGTGCCAGAATCCAACCCTGAACGGTACAGGAGCTGCTGCTGCTGCGAACAGCACGCTCACTGGTCTGAGGCACCCTTTCAGTTTAAAAGCAGCTCCCCAGCCAGCTGACGTCTGACTCGTTAACCAACCAGCAGCTGCGGGAAGACAGAAACGTTTGCTGTGAAAGCGCAGCATGGACGCCGAGTGCGGGAGTACAATAAGAGTTGATATTTGTAAATCTTCATGAGTAAATACTTAAATATTCTGAGTCTTGCACCAAATACCGTGTGTGCAACTCTTAGCGTGGACCAGAATGCTGTGGACAGAGACGTCTCAGGACATCAGACTGTTACTGACCAGCGTCTGGAAGTTTGATGCTCCTGTGACAACAGCTGGACCTGTAGAGCCCGTTTCAGTCAGAGGACTCCAAACCGCTTTACACTCCGGTGCATCATTCATCCATTCACACGCTGGTGGTGATGAGCTACAGTGTAGCCACAGCTGCTCTAAGAGGACTAGACCTTACAGGCCAGAGCTGAACAAGAATCAGAAATTGGTATCAGCCCTGAAAACCGAAACCAGTGTCTATAACAAACCTGACCAGTTCAGCTGGTTCTGGGTCCATCCTGTAAATGAACCCATCCGGCACTCATTCATAGTAGATATTCCCAGTACAT